GGAAACTGGGATTATATAGGGGATTATAGGGATTCTAAGCCCTATATATCCCTTTAAAGTGGAGAATCAAATGGAAAAGAAAATGGAAAATGAAAAGGAAACTGGGATTATATGGGGGATTATAGGGATTAGGGTTTCCCAAAATTAGGGGATACCTTTTTTCGGGGGTCCCAATAATAAGGACTATAGTATTTGGGGGTCTATATTGGGGTCCCCTGATTTTGGAAACTACCATATATCCCTTTAAAAGGGACCAAATTATTGGGCACATGGACCCTAGGGGGTAGGGTCTGGCTGAGTATGTCTTTCTGAGTACAGAACAGGTTACAGACCCAATACAACTCGGAATACCTGCAACAGAAAGCTGTGCCTTCAGATTGCATGTTGCGTGCTTCTGCTCAAGAATTAGAGTAGCTCTCCACTGGCAACTTTGTTCGTGACATTGCTGGTGGTTTCAGTGGATGCTTAAGGCATGGTCACTGCTCAACAAAACTAGGGAATGATGTGTGGCGCTGCAGAACTCCCAGAGAAGTCGACCCAGTCATCCGAAGAAGTCGATTCTGATGTTGTGGCCTCAGACAGTGAGAGCTGCGCGGATGAGGGTGTCAGCGATGTCGGCGTGCCGCCAGAAGAGCTCTGCGAATCTGAGGCAGAGAGCGATAGGTCAAGGGAGGTCAGGACCAAAAGCACAGCTCGTGCACGATCTCAGGTTCGCCTAGATCGAAGAAGCAAGGGCCGCGCTGGTACTTTGAGGAGGGCGGCGACGAGCCCTGTGTTGGACGACCCCGTTGCGCGTGCACAGCGCCGGGTCCAAGAGCAATTCGCGGCGCGGAGGCGTGCCAAGCGGGAGGAGCGGCGCCAGAAGGCCCTGTGCCAATGTCGGTACGACTCAGTCAACCTCGAGGCCTTCAGGCGAGCGACCGCTGCCCGCTTAGCCAACGAGAGCGAGGATGTGATCAAGGAAGTTTCTGATGTTGGCGACGTGGGTAAGAGTGTTCAGGGCGGAGAGAAGGCAGAGCCGGCACTGAGCATGTCCAAGAGGCGGCGAATTGCCATTGTTGGAGCCGGGCCTGTGGGACTGTGGGCAGCAAACCTAATCATGCTGCGTCATGCCCGCCGCGTGAAGCGTCCCGTGGCTGGCAGCGGTGCCATGGCGGCAAAGGCCGCGCCAGTATTCATTCGGAGCAAGGATGCGCCTGAGATCGTCATCTTTGAGCAGAGGGCCGAGGAGGACCACTGCTCACGCAGAAATGTGCGGATCACCCTCGATGCCCATGCAGCTGCATGCCTAAGAGGTCTGTAGTCATCATCCCTACCTAGGCTGTCGCAACCAACCCTAGCGGGCTTTAGCTGTAGGACCATGCGCCAGATAACTAGGTCTGATGCGGCTCAAAGGGTGGCTTGTTGTTAAGCTCTCAAGTTCAGGTTGCGCTGCTCAACAAGCACACAAAGTCCAAGCGTTTTGAGTCTGGCATGGCGCTAGCAGACATTGAGTCGATACTCTTGGACCAGTGGCGGAGACTGGGGGGTTCCAACAGCATCCGCTTTGGCAGCCAGACAAGTCCCGAAGACATTGCAGCGGAGGCTGACTGGGACTTGATCCTCTGGGCGGGTGGTCGGAGATCCTTGGATGATGCCACGCGCACTTCCATGGCCTGTGACATGAGGCTGGGGGAGAATGAGGAAGTTCTTGTATTTGAAATGCGAAGCTTCACGCGCGGAAAGCAGGGTGCCAGTCCAGTCAAGATTCAAGAGTTGGAGCAGCTTGCTGCAGTGGATCTGACCTTCTGCGCCCGGAATGCTGCCGCAGCCGCCGGAGGTGAGCAGTCAGCTGGCACCCTGTCCTATCGGATTGTCCTCCGTGTGGCACAAGATGCTGCAACCAACCCGCCGCAGCCGCTTTGCTGGCTTTGGTTCATGGGACTACCAGAAGAGCTGAAGGCGGCCAAAGAGAAGCTGGGCCGTGGCAAGCCGAAGCCCTGCGACAGTGTTTTAAGCGCTCTCGAGGCCGAGCTGTCTCGACTCGGCTTCAGCCAGGAAGGCTGGATACCTCAGATTTTGGCTGCTGCAAGCTCCTTGCAAGAGAAGTTGTTGAGCCCAGCCGAAGCCACCGTGCGGTGGGTGGATGCTTCCTTTTGGTCCTCGGATCATGTTGTCTGCGCCTCCCCGCCAGGACCTTCAGGTTTCAGCGTGCCCTTCTTGCTGCTTGGGGATGCTGCCATGGGCAAGCCTTTCTACACTGGAACGAATCTCAATGTCCATTTTACAGAAGTGAAGGCTCTTTCCCGGCTGCCGGTCATCCGCTGGGGTAGTCTCTTGGTCCCAAGAAAGGCTTTCATTTAGGGCTGCTTATTTGTTTACTCACATCATGAGCAAGGCCACGCGTCCTCCCGTGGAATTCGCTCAACACCCCGTTCACAGGATAACGAGAAGCAAAACAAGATGAACAATGGTATGTACGACCAAAGGCAAGATTCCAAAAGGGATCCTTCGTGTTGAGAGACCTTGGTTTTGGTAGAGTAGAGACCTGCCGACTCATGATCCTCAACCCAAACCCTAAACGCAAGACCCCACTAGATTCTGATGCTCCATCAAGCTCAAGTGCCGTGCATGCAGGCCGAGACCCTCAAAGTTTTGGGCTGTAGGGTTTAGGGGTTTAGGGTTTAGAGGTTTATGGTTTTGGGTTTAGGAGTTTAGGGGTTTAAGGTTTAGAGGCTTCGGGTTTAGGGAAGGGGCGTGGTTGTTTAACAAAACTTGGGTTGCCGGCAACCCCCCGTTACATGTATGATTCATAGAGGCCCCCCCCGAAAAATCCTTCGTTTCTATCCCTGAAGCCCGAGAGCCGCTAAACCCTTAACCCCAAACCCTAAGCCCAAATCCCCAAAGCCAAAGTCCCTATCCCCAATCCTCAGTGCTTTAAGGAGAAAGGTTGGGTACTGCCCCCTCTCAGTAACAGTTGGACAATAAGTATAATATGGTTATATATATATAGCCCTTAATAGTACCCCTAATATAGACTGCTACTGGGTGGGGGCAATACCCAACCTAAACTCTAAACCTAAACCCTAAATCCCAAACCTAAATTGTAGTCTCCATTTTCTTCTCCATTATCCCAATATTACCCCAATATGCTATTGTAGTTTCCATTATCCCAATACCCAGTGCTTTAAGGTTAAAGTAATAACAATAATAGTAATAATACGAATACTAGTAATCATAGTAATAATACTAATAAGAATAATCATAGTAATAATAATAATAATACTAATAATAATGAAAAATAGTAATAATAATAGTAACAGTAATAGTAATAATAATAGTAACAGTAATAGTAATAATAATGGTAATAGTAATACGCTGCAGAAGCCCAGGTTTGGTAGCTGCACAGAAGTCCCAGGCGCGCTGCTCGCAATTCCTACTGACAAGCGACCTGCCGGTGCTTAAGTTGTTGAGGGGAAGTAGGGGAAGGTAGGGCTCAGGATTCTTGGGGTTTAGGGTTTAGGGTTCAGGGTTTAGGGTTTAGATGTCCAGGGGGTTGCCAGGTTAGGGCCTGTGGGGAAACTAGGGCTAGAAAGAGATGTAAAGTGAAATGCAACCTACTATGCTGTTTAAACTTGGGGCTTAGTAGGATTGTAGTCAATCCCCATTTTTAACCTACTTGCTAAGCCAAATATCGCAATGTGGGGTTTGGGGGTTTGGGGGTCTAGGGCTTAGGATGTAGGAGTTGAGTTTACGGCTTAGGAATTTGGGTCAAGGACTTAGCATAGGTGGTTCTGCAAGGCTCGTTGTCGAGCGCCCATATATGCGGATGATAGCATCCAAACTCTGAATCCCTAAGCTTTAATACCTAATCCTTAACGCCTAACCCCCAAACTCTAAACCCTAAACCCGAAACCCTAATCCCTAATCATCCCTGAACCCTAATCCCTAAACCCCAAACCAGAAAAACAAAAAACAACAACCTAAACCCTAATCCC